TATCAAGAATAAAGTCAAGGATCAAGTCTCGCCAGACAGAAAACAAAAGATTCACTCATGAATGATTTTGCAATAATTTTACATTGGCATTACACAACACGGCGTGGTTTATTCGTGCGAGCGACTGTATGCTTCACTGTTTGCTGTATGTGGATATTCAGACTTCAGATATAATTCTGTTATGCTCTACACTGTATTATTTGTTGTTAGTTGTTTCAGGAGAGTGTATAATAACTAATTAAAAGCTGCATGCACTTCTACTATAAAGCAGAGAATAGTAATAGTATGGCCAAGTAGTATCCATTTGAAAGGTCAGTTTTTTATACATGCTTGCATGTGTATTTTAGGATTTCATACACAGAATCAAAGGTAGAACCACCTTTTACAGCCAAAAAATAGACTCAATTTCCACCACTTTCCCAGGTCTGGTCTTTGAGCTGCGGGCTCATTTTCCAGAACAGTGGCGGGTAATTGTGCCTACAAACAGTACCACAGGAAAGTACAGCTTAACATTATACAAGTATGTGTCTAATAAGATATTTAGAAATATCACACCTCTCGCACAGGAGCATCACAAACATAACAATAGCACTGTTCACAGTACTTCTCATTACATGAAACCGTCGATGATGTTACGTTGCTCTGAACAAACTTGTGGATTGAACAGTTTTCTCTTGCATGTGGCAAATTTGTTGCTGGTCTAAAGTAGGTAATAGAGACATCTTTTTTCTCTACATTTTCAACAGTTTTCTCAGCTTTCTTGTCATCATCAAGCTTCCTTCTTTTCAAAGGAGAATAGTCCTCAGGAAGAATAAAAACAACATCATCATCACTGTTATCCCCAACACAGATCAGAGGGGAGCTTTTTTCAGAATCTTCAAGTTTGACATCCAAGGCAGAAGACTGTTCTTTGGTTAACTGTTCCTCAATTTCTCTAAATCTCTTTGTAAGTTCTTGCTGTTCCTTTTCACAAAATGCCAACTATATGAAAGTAAAAATTATCCAAAGTCAGATGCCAGCAGTTTTACCCTATAGTGAGTTTGCCCCTAGTAAACTACATGTAATAAATTAACAAGACTTACCACAAGATTTGACACACATACATGTAATGTGGCTAAATGTAATTTAGGCAAAGTTAACCTCGAAGCAATGCTGGTCAGCTGTTTCCCCAACTTTAGTAGGGGTGGCCCGATGTCTCTAGCAGGGGCACCTTGCAGCTTGCTTGCAGTTCTTCGCAAAGTGTTGTTGCAATAGCTTGCTGTTTACTTGCCAGTTTGTGCTTTGGTTTTTCCCATCCCTCCCTCCCTCTTGGTGTGGGCTAGGTAGGTATTGGGTCGGTAAGTATTCCACTGAATTGACCATTCAAGACTCATCTTATCTTTATGAAAACACCAAGCTCGAGTCTACTGAGTCACAATGCAGTTATCCGGCATAGTTGATGCAGCTGCACTCTATTCTTATAGTTTTGGACCTGTTAATCACTATCCGTGATAATTTAACATGCCTGCAAAGAAAATTAACAAGCTGGGCCCAGCGTGATACAACATTGCATTGTGACGGTGCCTGGTGGGGGCCGCTCACAGGGTTGCCATGGATACCTCCTCCTCATGCTAGAGCATTGCCCGGCTCCACCAACTTTGTAGGCACCAACGCCCAAGCTCATCTATTGGTGATGAGTTTAATATACAGTTTATTTCTTGTATTTTATGTCCAATGCCACTGTAAATTTTCGTTACAAAACCAATATAAACAATTAAATCATTTAATTATTACTGTACATTTGTGTCGTTTTGGGCAAAAACGTCACACGTTAAAACACGTCCATTAATATTGCATGCAATATGGCGGATTTGTATGCATGGAACAAGCATGTAATTCTGCAATGCCCATACATTGTACTGTGTTAAACAGGGTTGGATGAAAATTTTTAGAAATTACTTACCTGTTCAGTAAACTATTGCTGAAGTTTACAAACCAGAGCAGTCATGCAGGCCTACCAACCCTCCTTTTCCCTAGCGTTTGCTTTATCTTCCTAGATATTGTTTGCTCATTGGACTATTCCTAACTAAGGCACCACTCACACTGTACACTGAGCTGTACCTGCTGCTCAAGCACACTGTGCCAAAGTACAGTACTCACTGGACACTAATGTAATCCTCCTCTTCTATAACCCATGCTTGAATTTTGCATTTTGTCCCGGTGCCCAGGCACTGGTTCCCAGGCATCAAGTGTGTAGAGCCCCTAAAACATGACAGGTCACTCCACTACCCACCCAACCACCCACAGTTAATCAGACAGTACTGTTGTGGACCCTTTATAATCTGCTACTCTCTCATAGGCGGACAGCTCTGCTTACGGACACCTTCACAAAACCCTGTTTTTTTTTTAATCCCATACAAACTCTGTATTTTTACAGTCTTGTAAGCGGCCATGCAGCTGCAGTTACGGACACCATTTTCAAGTCCTGAGGGTGTCCACTTACAAGAGCTTTCAATGTATTTGCAGGCAAAAAATATCAATTTCAGATGTGCAGAACAGACTTTACAACTTGGATAACAGAGACTCTATATACACACTGTTTGCAAGTTAGGTACATACCCTCCTTTTTAGCTGTGCAGCTTTGTACACTATGTCATCACTACTTGGTGTTTCTGTACATGTGGTTATCTGTGGTGGCAGTGATTCTTTTCTCTTTCGTTTTCTGTTTAATATTGGTGATCCTGCTGAGCGCACCTAAAAGCAAAAGTAAAAAAAAATTAAACTCACCATTACACATCCAAAGCATGTGTAAATGCTGACAGCAAATTGGCGCGCTGTTATGATTGAGTACCAATGAAATGATCTTGGTTTGTGGGTCAATAATTTTCTCGCCGGGACATCCACCAAGTTTCTTCTACAGTTAAACGATAAAAGAAAGAAATTGATTGCTAGATATTTTAGAAAGTAGATAAAAAAAATTCGTAAGTTAAACTACAATAAAAAAGCGTTTCTACATCAAAATCCTCACGCAAATTGAGTGGGATGCCCTGCTGTTGTTTTCAAAAGGTGTCAAATGTCAGAAGTGCGCGCCATCGTGAAACAAACATGTGCAAGTTTTCCAGTCGCGCGCACTAATAAAATGAAAAGAATATCAACATAATCTGTAGAAAATCACTTCCGTGCTGCGATTAAGGATTTCTGGAAGCTTTAGGACTGTTTTACATCCAAAACTTAAACAGAAGCATGATATGATCTCTGGACTTCACCAAGCTGCAGGTTCGGCATGGCCGACGATCTCGGACGTATCAATCTTTCTACCACTCTAAGAGACCTTCATAAAGGTTAAGACTAGATTTGAACAATACACACTTTCATCTTTGGATAAGTGCTTCGATGAGNTAACAGAGACTCTATATACACACTGTTTGCAAGTTAGGTACATACCCTCCTTTTTAGCTGTGCAGCTTTGTACACTATGTCATCACTACTTGGTGTTTCTGTACATGTGGTTATCTGTGGTGGCAGTGATTCTTTTCTCTTTCGTTTTCTGTTTAATATTGGTGATCCTGCTGAGCGCACCTAAAAGCAAAAGTAAAAAAAAATTAAACTCACCATTACACATCCAAAGCATGTGTAAATGCTGACAGCAAATTGGCGCGCTGTTATGATTGAGTACCAATGAAATGATCTTGGTTTGTGGGTCAATAATTTTCTCGCCGGGGCATCCACCAAGTTTCTTCTACAGTTAAACGATAAAAGAAAGAAATTGATTGCTAGATATTTTAGAAAGTAGATAAAAAAAATTCGTAAGTTAAACTACAATAAAAAAGCGTTTCTACATCAAAATCCTCACGCAAATTGAGTGGGATGCCCTGCTGTTGTTTTCAAAAGGTGTCAAATGTCAGAAGTGCGCGCCATCGTGAAACAAACATGTGCAAGTTTTCCAGTCGCGCGCACTAATAAAATGAAAAGAATATCAACATAATCTGTAGAAAATCACTTCCGTGCTGCGATTAAGGATTTCTGGAAGCTTTAGGACTGTTTTACATCCAAAACTTAAACAGAAGCATGATATGATCTCTGGACTTCACCAAGCTGCAGGTTCGGCATGGCCGACGATCTCGGACGTATCAATCTTTCTACCACTCTAAGAGACCTTCATAAAGGTTAAGACTAGATTTGAACAATACACACTTTCATCTTTGGATAAGTGCTTCGATGAGGCCGCCGCAAAGAAATATCTGCCATTATATTCAGCCTAAAAATGAAAGCTATTTCAGAATTAGTGCGCGCGCGAAGCAATGAATGCTGCAATCGATTCTTATCGCTTTGACTATTTTCGAACACTGTAATCGTTACATGCTACGAAAAGTAAATTGGGCAAAGAAATGGGATGTCGAGGTAAAAACAATTTAATCCAGCTGACATAGAAAGGTGTGTGTAAGTCAGCAGGGCACGTAAATCTTACCGTAACTTGGACGAGCTGGATTTCATCGTCGTCCATCTTGGATGTGCAAAAATTGTTTTGTCATCATTTTTCAGGTTGTCATGTGACTTTTAACATTGGCGCCAGAATTTGCCAGCAATAAGCTTCCTTCTGATTGGTGGTTTATAAACTCCTACCAAGGCCTTCACGGTCAAAAAAGAGAGATGGGACTGGACCTCGTGCACCACCTGCCATTATGTAGCACACGTTTCCAATCGTGTTATTTTTTATTTATTTATTTCTTATAATTTAATGGTAAATACTACAACTATAATAATGATAAATAAATAATATAAAAGCTATAAGAATAATTTGTAAAAGAGTAGATCCCACCATTGAAGATATTTCCTCAACAGGCGTTCCGGATTTGACAAGTGGCGTCTAGAAAGACTAAGGGACTGTGCAATAATTATCAGGAGAGGGGGGGTGTGAAAAACTAGAGGGGGGGGCATTGCAAAAATTGCTGCCAAGATAGGGGGGGGCTCAAAGTAAAATCACTCATTTGACGGAGGGGGGGGCTTAAGTTTTATTCGAAATGTGGAGGAAGGCATCTGCTGATAAACGTGAAAATATGTGCGGAAATGCTATGTGCTTGAAGCTTCAGAAGCTAAAGGAAGATCATGTACGACAAGGGCACTACTTCTTAGAATACCTGAAGTTTGCTTGTGAGCCCACATGTAAATCGTGTGAAAAGGAAGGGTGGACAGCTGGTGTCCCTGCAAATTGGTTACCTGTTCCTGATCTTAGTGATACAGCAGCCTTACCACGCGGGTATATTCCATCCAATGTGACCAGTCTGAGTGATGAAATCGATCGACAACTTCCAAGTGTGCAAGTCAAGAAGTTAGTCGATTCTGGTATGTTAACGTTTTCCGACGCCAACGAAATGCAGGAGGTGTGCGAGAAGTTGATGGTTGATGAAATCACTCGCAAAAGTTTTGTTCAACATCGTGAGTTTCTTGCATTGAAAGCTCAAAAAAGGGAAGCTGAACGCAGTACCCTTCCAGACATTAACTGGAAAGAAGAAAATGAAGTCAAGTCCCTCACAGCAAGACAAATTAAGATCTACCTTAAGCAGAACAATCTTCATGTATCTGGAAGTAAAGCTGCGCTGGTAGCACGTGCTCTTGATTTCTCGCATACTGGAACACGAAACAACGAAAGAAATAGTGCCAATGACAGTGACACAGAACTCCTATCCAGTGATTCCGAATACGACTCTGATTCTCACACAATTGCAAGTACTTCCGAAAACAACTCTGATTTGGATTCAGATGACTCCGAAACGGATGGCTTTGTTGAACATTCATATGAGGTACTATTTGTTCCAGACGACGACATCCAACAAGTAAGCGTAAGCTTACAGTAGCATGACAATATAAAAGGTATTTACTTAAAGGCATCTAATGGTGGAGGTGAGGGGTGGGTGTGTGTGTGGGTGTCTGTGTGGGTGGTGTGAGGGGGGGTTCGACGTTATGTTCCACATACCAGAGGGGGGGGGTTAGAACTATTTTTTTTATTTGGAGGGGGGGTACTGTCTAAGTTTTTGCTAGATAACTCTAGTTTTTCAGCTCCCTCCCCCTCCTGACAATTATTGCACAGTCCCTAAAGGCGGGGAATGCGATTTGGGGGGACCTAGGTGATACTTGTTTGATACATATTGACGTTTGACGCTGCTTTCAGTACAAAGACAGCGGAGCCAGGGAACTGGGGGACTTAAGCTTATGCTCCGAGAAACCTTGCAGCACACGTCGAGTTTTGTAAAACGTTTCGTGTACTTAGCCGGTATGTATCACTTTGTATGAATGTTCCAAGTCAAACGGAAATATTGTTGTTATGACTAAAAATTCCCGTTATTTCAGACTTGATCGAGTTTGAAATATTCACGTGGAGAGTACTGAAAATAGCATTTCCAGGTTTCTAGATTTCAACATTTTCTGGGGGAGCAATTTGCCCCAAGAAACCCTTAGAGGCTCACGCCTTTGACGCTCGCAGTATTTCCCGCTGTTAAGAAATATTCGTATCAGTACGAGCACCCCTTCTCAAACCCCAGCTACGCGCCTGTTATAATGACTCGTGCACTTTGTTCCTCAAGCGCTACTTAAAAGGCAGGGAGTCGTCTAACCCCCGGGTCTAACCAATGCACCCAGACATATCAAAATGCTACTGAGCTCAGTATTCGGCTTTATGAGCGAATAAACATTTTTAGCAAAAACCCACGCAACTACCACTTGTGTTGCACAAGATAAACACTGAGATCTACTAACACTCTCCCCCTTTCCCCTGTAGGTGTATATTTAGTTGCGTTCCATCCCCCTGATAGTTCTTATATTTTCTCGGCTTTATTTACGGTTTTGGCACCCTGAGAGCTGAGCCTCCATTTTCTTCTTCTTGATCGAGAAGAAAAGGAGACTCTCTCGATCTCTCTGCATGAATCGTGTCTTGGGTGCGCTAAAATCAAGCAAACAAAAGGGTCTGCTGGTAAGGTGGGGCCGTTTGAGGGTACAAGGATGGGTAGATCCAATTCCTCTTCTTTCTTTTTCACAAACGGTACGTATGGCTCACGAAAACCTCTTTTTTCAGTGATTGTCTCCCTTATCCATACCTGACAAACATACATTTCCCTGCTTCGTAACCAGGCGCATAAAAGAGAACATGGGAAGCCGGTTTCAGGTTAACGCAACTGTTTTAACATGACGTCACCAAAATTCAAACCAAGAAACTATCGCTTCTTCTGATTTTCTACTTTCATGTGGTATTACAGAACCTTAAACCTTTGTACAAACAAATTTTCGGTTCGAAAGGGTTCTTCGTTTAATTTTGCGATACAGGACGCTCGAATTTCCAGGCGTTTGCATGACGGCACTTAGCTGACGGCCAGGAAAGCTCTCATGTGGGCGATTTTGGGAGATTTTGCTATCTAAAAATTCCTTGTCTGAGGAAAACTCAACAACAGATGTTTCCGTTGGTTTCCGGCGGCCATATTTCCACCCCTGAAAGGAACACAAACATGGCGTCTCCATACAAAGCTCGATAAATTTGGATAAAACGTTTTTCCGAATATCTCGAATATGAAATAGTGCAGAGACCTGATTCTTGGCAAGGCTTTTTGTATACTTAAATACTTAAATTCAGAGTTAAATTGCCCGAAAAGTCATGTGCTCGTACATAAGAAGACCTAATTTAGAAAAGCATCTGTCAGGCACAGGAATGTTACAGCCCATTAAATAAACCTATCAGAGAACTGAAAAAGTTTAAATTGAACCCCTTAACAGGCTGTGCCCCGGTTGTTCAAAAGACTGGATAGTCCTATCCACCAGATAAATCACTATCCAGTGGATAAGTTATGAAAACCAACTTCGCTATATCCAGCAGTGGATAGAGATTTATTCGATGGATAGCGCTATCCACCTTTTGAACAACTGGGGCCTGGAAGCAAAAAACGTGGCACCCCATCCAGTGGCATATACCAGGCTAAAAGTTTTTAGTCTTGATATTTTTGACAAACTAGTTGGATTTTACTAAAACAATTATTTTTCTCGTCCTCATGGCCTCTGATTCAATAGCATATTTGGCCTTCGGCCTCATGGGCTATTGACTCAGAGCCCATTCGGTCTCGTGGAATAATTGTTAAATAGCGTATACAAGGTAGTGAAGGTACCATATACCGTCCAAGGGTAACAGACGGTTACTGCCAAGACTTGCACAAAAGGAAATAGAGATAGTTGGTAACTGGAGAAACCGTACGATTTTGCTTTCTTGAGAATGTATCAGCAAACTTGTTCCTAAATTCTTCCCACACATCTCAGAGCATGTCTAAATGTTATTTGCAAATTAAACGTTTACCAGTGCGTGTGACTGTTTCGACTGTGTCTGGAGCGTTAACACTAAACCTAATTCTAAGTACTATGTAGCCGCTGACCTGTCTATCATCCTCCAGATGCAGTATATGCGGATATTGAATTCCTGGAATTTTTGTCTGATTGTTCCGAACAAGTCCTTTCCTGGAACCCAGTGACACAAGGATTATTATTGCTGGTGATATTAACCAACTTCAATTTGGGTGTGAGTGAGTTGCGCGAGCTGTGATTTTGGGATTCGCTATTGTGATTAAAACTACGTCAACTGTACTTCAAATTGAAATGTCATGGATATCTTGGGAATACGGAGCGATTCTCGACAGTAGTGGACAACAATAGTCAAGGTGTGGAAGTATATAAGCCTTGAGATGTCCGTCTCTGAGTCGTCTCAGAGCTCCGATCTTGGCATAGACCTTCTTTAAAACAGTTGATAGGTGGTCTTTAAAGGACAGCTTATCGTCAATATGAACACCAAGAATCTCCAGGAAGCCATTTATTTCGAAAGAAGAGTCGTTGCCTATGTCGCAGACACTCTAAACCTTCTGTATAGACTATACAAATGGTTTAGACGAGTGCGCGGGCCGGCTGTAACGTAGGCTACAGAGTCGCCAATATGAAGAACAAGTTCCTGAGAGCGCTTACCCAGAATCATTGCTTGGGTTTTCTTGCCATTGACTAAAAATTTCTTTGAGTGTGAAAGGTTTGAACCTAGGAGTCATTGCAAAAGTAGGTTGAGTTTGATCGTCCGGATTAACGTAGTCCTGAATAGGACTGTTGTTGTTGACAGTAATATAACTGACGTTTCGACAACCTGTGCGGCAGTCATCTTCAGAGTCAAAGTGAGTTGTATCACGTCAGATTATATACCGTCAACTGACGTGATACAACTCACTTTTACTCTGAAGACGATTGCCTCACAGGTTGTCGAAATGTCAGTCACTGTCAACAACAACAGTCCTATTCAGGACTACGTTCACCCGGACGATCAAACTCAACCTATTTTTGAAATTTCTTTGAGGCAAACCAGTATGAAAGATTCTTAACAAGATCTCGGTTTAGAGATAGTTACAAAGCTGAAATGTTGGTATTGGATGCACTGGGGGCAGTAGTGTCATCGGCGTAGAGCCTGAGGGAAGAGACTTGAACAGAAAACCAGATCGTTGATGAATACGTTAAACAGGAGTGGCCCCAGGAGGCTGCCTTGAGGAACACCGCAATACACCGGTAACCAATCTGAGAAAACTCCGTTAACCTTCACCTTTTGCTTTCGATCAGTTAAGAAGGAATGCAAGAAATCAATTGCCTCCTTCACCAACTCCATAGCCATGTAGCTTTGCAAGAAGCGAATTATGACATATGCTATCAAAAGCTTTGGATAAATCCATCGCAATGAAGCCTGTAACCTTTCTGAAATCTACAGCCAGACGCCAGTCATTGACTATTTTGACCAAAGCAGTGCAGTATGAATTTCCACCAAGAAATCTAAACATATTTGAAGAAAACGGAGGTTGGAAAACGTCATAAAGCTGATCAAAACTGACTCTTTCTAAGATCTTGGGTTTGATAGAGAGAACACTGACAGGTCTGTAGTTAGATAATGATGTGCCATCATCTTTTTTAAAAACGGGTGTCACGTGGCTAAGCTTCCACTCCGCAGGCCACGTAAAAGAACAGGGGCACCCAACGAGAATATAGTTCAAAACCACTTAAACATAGCATTGTTAAACGTATCTTAGTATTTAAACGGTAGATAAAGGCATATTTTTATCCCCTAAAAATATTTTATCTGTTCGGATTTCGTAGCTAAAACTCTAGGAATCCGAAAAATATAGGGATCAAACTTTAACTTTTTGAAAATTTCAGCCAGAGAAAAGGCTCCCGAAAATTCTAGATGACCTTTTTAGTGTAAAAATTCTTGAAAAATGGACAATTATACTATTTTTTAGATGTTCGAAAATCCTAGGAGAGGCAGGCAAGCTTGAAATTTTACAACAATGTTCCGAAAATTCTAGATCTCAAATCGTCTTCCGAACAGACATTTTCTGAAAATTGACGTTGGGTGTCCCTGGAAGTATTTATGCAGAGATTATGTAACTTTGTTAGGTGAACTGCTAAGGCTGGCGCTGATAATTTAAGAATCTTGGGCATTATGTTGTCGATCAGGTCCATAAGATTTATTGCACTTGATATCATCCAGGAGAGTTTCAATATATGAGACATGTACTGGTTGGGGGGAAAAGTCCAGGTTGAAGTCACGTGATGTAATGGAAGAGACACTAGGGTGGGTAAAAAAATCTTCCTGCTTAAAGGGACTGTGTCACGATAGTACGCATGTGTGAGCTGTGACAGTAGCTGATTGTTTTTAAACCAATCGAAAGCGAGTAAGATGCACGCACGGAAATTTACATAACTCAAAATTCATTGTTCGCGAAGCGGGAGACTTCCGGGTGTGTTTGTTCGATTTTACATATCCCCATAATTCATATCTATTCTCTGGTATTCCTCAGAT